ATCCTGGTCCTTGAGAAAGCCAGGCAGAGTAATCAAACACAGATCCACAGATTTATGTTTCACTTTGGTGAAGTTTTCCTTCTGGATGTAACAGAGTTGATGCAATCCACTGTAAAAGTGACAAAAACACACAAAGTTATTTTATTTAATCTAGTAAAATTTAGTTTCAAACCAATGGATTAAATTTCAAATGATCCACGTTAAAATTCACTTCCTGTCGGCAGATTTATCCCGTATAAAACAGCTGATGAGGGTGATTTTAGTCGAGCTTTCATTAATTATTTAAATGTTTGTACAGAGGAAGGATCTGGATCAGGGTCTGGGTCGGGTTCCTGCTCCTGAAAAGATTTTCAGATTTAATTACGTTTTTTTGTTTTAGTTGTTAGAAAAGACTGAGGTTAAGATAAAAAAAATTAATAATGAATACTGGGTTTTAGAGGTGTAGAAAAGTATCAAAATGTTGAAAAATGAAATATTTAATTTGCTGAAACTGTTCTGGTTTTAAAATGTGAAACAAGCAGTTTTGATTGATAAAATCAACTGAACTGAACCTGTTTTGGTGCAGTCTGCTCTTCATCCTGAGGTTTTAAAAGTTAGAGTCTTTTAGTGACATATCTCTAACACTATCAGGATATGTTGTGGCTCCGCCCCCTCAGTGCGCAGCCCTACTTGTTTACCTGATCAGATGTTGTTGTTTGTGACACAAACCCCATCAGGTCTCTGTGGGTCAGAGGCTGAAAGGTTTGGGAAGCACTGATCACTGTTTTTAGAGGAAACAGGAAGTTAAAAATGTCAGACGTTTTATAGGATGAAGTGATGTGACCCTCGTTACAGAGGTCAGAGATAAGCCCCGCCCCCCCTGCAGGTGGGTTCATTTTGCTCTGTGCTTCCAGCTGCAGGTCTGAACCTGTCCGGCTCCATCAAAGCCGAGGTGAAYGGTCACGGCCAGGCGGAGGCCCCCTTCGGCCCCGGGGCCACCTCCCTCCTCGGCCCCGCCCCCCTGCGACGAGCGTCCAGGCAGCACAACTGCAGCGCCTGCAGGAAGAACTTCTCTTCGGCCAGCGCCCTGCAGATCCACGAGCGCACGCACACCGGAGAGAAACCGTTCGTCTGCTCCGTCTGCAGCAGAGCCTTCACCACCAAGGGCAACCTGAAGGTTCGCAGAGACCACTTCCTGTTTGACGCCCACCCCCTTTAACCAGTCCAACCCTTCAACCGACTTTAAACCTTTAAACACAGCTTTGCTTTCTGAAGAGTTTCAACATCAGACCTGAAATATTTGATAAAACGTTAAAGATGAATTCAACTGTGAGCTTTTTCTTTTGAATAAATGTAGAAAAAACAAACGAGAGAAACTTCAAATGAAAATGTTAGAGTGAACCTTCAGTCTTTAGCTGAAAACTTTAGCTGAAAACTTTAGCTGAAAACTTTAGCTGAAAACTTTAGCTGAAAACTTTAGCTGAAAACTTTAGCTGAAATGGAGCTGAAAATGTTTAATAGCAAAACATTTAATGTAAGTTCAATTTGAAAAGCTGAAACAAGCACAAACAGTTTCACTTAGCAGAAAACAGTAGAAAAGAGCTGAAAAAAGCTAAAATTAGCATAAAAACAAGCTAAAAGTAGCAGACACAAGTTTAAATTAGCACTCAGATGGTGAAAGGAGAATATAAATGTCAAATTAGCAGAAAAAACAAAGTACAAAAAAGAGATAATATGTTGTAAAATAGCTAAAACAGCCAAAATTTGCAGTAAAACAGCTGAAATGAAGCTGCAAATTCTTTTGAAAATGTCTGTTATGTCTTGTGCACCTTGTAAATTCTGTTACAAGGGGCACAAGTTTGCTGAACTTTGCAGAAATAAGTTGTAACAGCTACTAAAAGTCTATTTAGCTAAAAAAAATTAGCTAAAAACAGCTGAACATTAGCTAAAACTGCAGCAAATAGCTGAATATAGCAGAAAAAACTGTAAGATGCAGAAATAGCTCAAATTAGAAGAAAAAACCCACAAAAATGTGGAAAATGGCAGAAAGAAGCAGAATTATAGCTGAAATAGCACAAAAAGAAGCTAAAATTAGCTAAAGGAGGTAAAAAGAGCAGAAGAACAAAATAAACATTTAGAAACATTTTGAAGGATTTTAAGGATGTTGAAAACAGCTCCATTCATTCTCAATGGGGAAAAAGTGGCCGAAAGGTGAAACAGCTAAAAAAAAAAAGTATAAATAGCTGAAATGCTAAAAAAAATTTACAGAACGAGACACGAGCCAAAAAACTGTACGGAAGAAAAACTGCTCTGAATAGTGAACTCTTGTGAATCTTTCACACARTGAATGATTGTGAATGTTTCACATTAGATGTAGTTTTAAAATAATAAATATATTTTCATTTAGTCYGGCTTTAGGAGATTTGGAGGTTTTTATGTAGAGACTACCCACTGGTGCAGAAGGAGCACACTGCAACGGTGTATGTTTTAACTAACTGTGTCCATCRTGTCTCTCAGGTCCACATGGGGACCCACATGTGGAACAACGCCCCGGCCAGGAGAGGCCGGCGGCTCTCGGTGGAGAACCCCGCGGCCCTGCTGCGCGGGGAGGCGCTGAAGTTCGGGGAGGCGTTCCACAAAGACCTGGCGAGCCGGGCCATGAGCGTGGACCCCGGGTTCTGGAGCCGCTACGCCTCGGCCATCACCGGCAGCCTGGCCCTGAAGAACAACGAGATCTCGGTGATCCAGAACCCGGGCCTGGCTCAGATCCACCCGCTGACAGCAGCCAGCGCGGCAGGGGGGACCATGAGCCTGAACAAGACCAGTATGGAGCTGGGAGCCAGCAGACACTTCTCCATGCTGATCGACGACAGCAAACACATCGGGATCAATTAAAACTGAACTTTGATGGAATTTATATGCAAACGATTCTAGACTTTTTATCTGCAAAACTTATTAAACAAACATTTTGTTAAATGTTTTCTACAAATAAAACCAGTTTTAAGAATTCCTTCATTCAGCTCTGAAGAAACAATCTGCTGAAAAGATTTATTCTTCGTGTTATAAAGTCACTTTGGACTCAAAACACAACGTGTTGTTTGTTGACTTTCTGTCAGAACACAACTCCTTCAGGTTCAGCAGAACCTCTGAGCTTTTTCATTCAGATATCCTGATTTACTGTTTATWAAACTAAAAAACAACAGTGTGTGCAGACGTGCAATAAAATGTGTAAACCTTTTAAATAAAGTATAAAACTTAAATTCTCTCCTCACACCTGAATCTGACAAACTTTAAGACTTTACCAGAACCTTAGGTACTGTAAGAGAC